GCCGGATGAAACTCTCCCCTGCAAGACTTTTCACTTGTAGATACATCAACTTTGAAATTATTCCATTTTATACCTGACCAAAACATGTTCTGGTACATGTAGGACGGAGGCCTGATGTGCTTTGACTCTTAATGAGATGGCCTACATGAGAAATAATGTCTTATTCTGTATTGTTAGTGCAAGCCAAGAACACAGAACACTTTCCAGGAGTTAGAGATGGCTTTTGGAACCAATTATACATTTCCTCCCACAGTGGAGCAGCTTTCAAATCAAATATTACACATTGCTTAATCCCTTTCCTCCATTTTAATAATAATGGGATAAACCGAAGTGAACAAGAACAAAGGAACGGTGTAACTGCATTGGTAGCAGGAATACTTGGAAAAGAAACAGATACCTGTCCCTGTCTGAATATTCAAGCTCCCCATTGGATTTTTATCCGACTGGTAACCATTTCGTTCCCAACCTAGTTCATTGAAATCTGTTTAGATTTAGTTTTTCTCTGGGGGCCATGATCTCATGAAGAATACTTTTCAAGTCTCTTGTCTCCATATGGTATGCTGAAACTGGTATTTATCATAACTGCGCTTATGAGCCCAAGTGTGGGAGTGTGCATGCAAGCTCACGCTAGTGTTGGTAGCATGCAGAAAGTGGGGAAAGTGCCAGCTTGTTGCCTTGAAACCTGGTCTAAAGAAATCCTTGATTTTGTTGGTAGGAAATTATTCTTCTGAACCAGCAAGTCCATCAAGCAAAGAAACCTGCTTTAATCACTAATGCAGTTAATAGAGTTGTTCACCTTACAACTTCATGTGGCTTGGCAAAATTCACTACACTGTTGGGCAACTCTTCATTTGCTAGAATAAGCTGAATAGCTTTCACAATTTACTAAAGCAAAAGCAAAACATCTCAACATCCCTTGAACAAAGGTTGGGTCCCTTACTTAATTACCTCACATATGTGAGCTATTCACAAAGATTTTATGTTTTTAAGTTTCTCCAAGAATATTATATATCCAAAGAATTAATAGGATAGCTTCAAAATAATTTCCAGTGGCAAATGTATGATATAATTAATCATATTCACTAAAACTGGCATAAACCTAAGGGACTTACAGATATTGTAGGGTTTTTTGTTGTTGTTGTTACTGCTCTATATTTTGGCAAAAGAAAAGTAAAATTTTATCAAGAACTATAAGATAAACTTTTGTCCCTTGGATCCCTATGACAATACAAGTAATTTCCCCCTCTTCATTTAGTACAGGCATTATTTACTGATGATAATAAAACTTGAGAACACTATAATCTAATATTTACTTTGAATTTGAATATTTGATGAAACAGTTTATTCATGAGCTCTGCTTTGGAATTTTGAAAGCTTATTTCCTTGGTTGGTAGCTTTTCTTTTTGTGCCTCTACTAGTATATAGCAGATTTCAGTCGTGGAAACAGTGCAATCCTTCTACTGTAAATCATCTGATCCTCAGAGTTCAGCCAGTGCTCCATAAGCTTGCCACCCCACACTGTTCAGTATTCATAGAAGACAACATGGAGAGAGCGAGTTCTGTCACATTTCAAAATTAGAATATCTTTTACTGCTTGAAATTTTTAAAATGTAAATGAGAAAGGCTATTACTTTAGAAGAGAAAGAGAAGGTTTTGGTTCTCAGAGGAAAAAACAAAGTGAGCCTTCCAAAACCAACACTCACAAGATAAAGTGAGAGACCAGAGCAGCAAGCAGGGAACCTACCATCTTTCACTTTGTTCACACTAGTGCAGCGAAGGTGCCATCTTGGTTCCCCGGGGATTCTTACAGGAGACAAAAAACAGCACCTCCCAGCCCCACCCTGTGCTCTTGTTGTCCGCATGATTCTAGAACGTAAGAGAGAAGGCATGGGTGTGAGCAGGGCATGGTTCACACGAAGATCTTAAGACTGTCATTTTAACACCCTAACATTGTGATGAGAACTCGAGCTTACAACGATGCTTTTTCTTCTCTGAATACCAAAGGCATTAAAGTCAGGTGTAAATGACTTGCCAGTGTCATGTTGTATTTTGTTAATAGATTTTTTTAAAGATAATTTTCCAGAATCTACCATTGTCCCTTATTTTGCTTACTTTCTTGCTTTTTAAGCACGTGTCTTCTTCTGTCCTTTGTCTCCTTGGCATTTATTTCATAGACCTCAGTACTCAGGTTCCGTACTCATTGCATTTATAAGACTGGAAAAGAACCCAGCCACACTTACTGACTGATGCCTCTAGAAAGAGCTGATGCCTCATCTTCTGCTTTGGGCACTTGTGCAGAACAGATAATACATAAACGTAGGGTTGTTGAACACCTTCTACCTGTCATATTTATTGCTCATTTTTGAATTACCCTTTGGTTCAAACTAGATTTCTAGAAAATTAATGAGCCAATATGAAGTTCTTAAAACTAAGAATGAGCCCTTTACCAAGAAGTCTCAATGCAGACAAGTCCTGAGTTGGGCATTCTTTCTTCCAGGTGGGCTGTGCATTTTGTGCTCCTTTAATACCCACCTACTCCTATCTTTTAACTGGTGTGTGAGTGTGTGTGTGTGTGTGTGTGTGTGTGTGAGTGTGAGTGTGTGTGTGTGTGTAAGCCTTCCTATGGAAGAAGAGCACCATTTTTGCAGAATATTGATCCTGATGTCCTCTAGGGCACCACACCTTTCCCTGGCAGGTTTTAATCAAGTAAATTGAAATCTGGATCCCCAGCTTCTCCTCTTTTCCACTCTTAATCACCAAAGTCTTTGTCAAACTCTGAACTTGTTGATAAAAGGCTGTACTTGCTGTGCTCCTTATGATGCAGTTTCCCCGCTAGCCAGAGTCTCTGGATGAGTGCATGCATGAGAGAGTGAGTGAACAAACAGGTATGGGACATTGCATATGTGCCAAGCTCTGTGCCTGGCACCATTCGAGCCTTAGAACATATCATGTGATTCCAATGGCATTTTCTGTAGGAGAGTGGTTCATACCATTTTCAATGTTTTCCGAAATGAATCCTGTTATGAAATTCATAAATTTATATTTCATTTAAATTAAAGAGAAAGAGAAAAGGTTTATAATATATTTTAAACACTTGCTATATAATACTAACAACTATAATTGTAGTTAGTTAATAACTAAAGTCTCTTGGAAGTGTCAAAGAAATATTTGATTTCTGATCCATCTTTGACTAAAATATTTACTTTAGAAATAAAACATTCTTATTTTGTTATATCACTGTAATTACATGATCAAAGTCAATATTTTGTAGACGTGTGTTATTTTATATTTAAAGAAATTTTGTCCCCTAATTCATGGGTATACACCTTGCAGTTGTAAATTGTCTTTTCTCTAGTACACTTCCTACTAATGGTAGCACCTGTATTTCTTACATATAAAGAAAAACATACTGAAATGTCTCAAATGCCAGTTACTAGAGTATAATAGTTGTAGCTTCAGTTTCCTCCTTTTTTCTGGGTTCTTTATCCTGGAATTGGCTAGCCCCTGCATTGTGTACTCTGCATAGCTCTGTATATATATATTCAGTTACCCACAGACCTGGAATACTGTCTGTTCACTCTGGGCAGCTGATGACTGCTTTAGGCTTGCCTGCAGAGGACTGAAGGAATCACATCTGTTTTGAGTCACTCATGATGGTTCAGAGACCCTGGAAAGCTTGCTTCTGTTTCTCTTCTTATCCAAACCCTCACAGGTGGTCTTCTCACGCTACATGTCAGCAAGCTTTCCTGTCAACAGCCAGACAGTAAGAGTTTTAAGGTCTGCAAGCCATGTAGCTCTCTTATTACTACTCATTTCTGCTGTTACAGCTACACATAGTATGCACATAAGTGGGTGGAGCTGTGATGCAATAAACCTTAATTTAAAAAACAGATGAAGGTCTGGATTTGACAATTATGTGTCACAGCTGCTGACCCCGTCCCAAGTTGATTTTGTATAAGATCCTCTAACCTTTAACCTGCACTCTTTTTCTGTCTTTTATTTGCATAATTCACTTTAGAGATGTATGTATGTACAATTGTATGTATCTGTGTTACCTAAAGCTGTATATTTTGTTATCTTGAAAGTAGACATATTTTTAGGGTCTCTTTGGGTTTTAGGATAATGTGATTGCCATGAAAGAGGCAGGGTGGGAGGGTTAGGCTTTTGGCACCTGTCTTCATCTTGTCATTCAGTGTCATAATTCCAGACTGCCCATGAAAAAAATCTGTATGGCATGACAGTACTACTTTCTAACTTTTCCTACTGCCTGACCCTTAGAACAAGACCCTGGGATGTAAGGATGTGTTCATTCTATTCGCTTAGAGCTTTCAGATGAAAACGTAATAGAATTTTGGATCTTGGTGCTGCAGAAAACAATGGACAACACAAAATGGGTATGTGCCCAGTTTACCCCTTGGCACAGCTGCTGCTAGCCTGCAGAGTACTCACACTGTCACCCCTTAAACAGCTTAAGTCTGAGTGAAGATACGGACCCAGAGGCATGCCCCTTTTTTCCTTTGTTTCATAACTTCACAATACGTTCACAAGTATGTCAATATGTATCATTTTCCAGTGAAAGTATTCTTCAACTGGCAGTTTACTGGCACTGTTGAACAGCTCGCTCCACCAGAAGCTGTAGGACTCAAGAAACTTACAGTTAGGTGGTATCATCTTACTAGCACACATGCTGCAGTGTGCCAGTCCTGTCAGGCAGTATACTTCTCATGATGTTCATCAAGCGCGCTTCACTGTTTGGAAATGAAACCTGTGTTGAGAATGAGGGGACAGAGAAAGCTCTTGTCTCAACTTGAATGAACACCTTTTAGGCCCAGCCCACTCCGAGGTCACTTCCACTCTGTGTGCATGTAAGCTTTGGTACTCTAAGCACATGTAGAACACACATGCAGAGGATCATGTGATGCAGACACCTTGCAGTGTACGCTACCTACAGTATAAATTGGATGCTACAGAATTCTGCATATTGCACACCAGAAAACCACGAAAGTGGAGAGAGCTCTTTATTGACAGAAACTTACAATTTCATTTTGCTGGGTTAACTAACTATGGTATCCCCAAGTATAATTATGTTGGTTTGGAAGTTGAAATGCCGTTCCTTACCCTCACTGGCCTCAAATTCCACTGATGATTTTCCCCTAAACTAATAAGTGGGTAAGTATAACCTGTGTTGTTACCCACTGGCTGCTCCTGAACTGGTTTCCAGTTGTGTCCTCCATAATGTGATTTTTTTATATAAATCAAAGGTAATATTGTATATTGGAGATCAAATAAAGATGTTCTTTAAGTGAAAGGCCTTTTTTTTTTTCTCTTCCTTTTTCACCCAGTGGCGACAAACAGTTCAGTTTCTTCCCATGTGCAGAAGAGCAACTTTGGCTTTGTTTACGGGGACTGGGAGTCCTCAGTTTCCAATGTTTGAAGCATTTCTTTTGTCTGCTCATTTTCACTTTCTTGATCCTATAGGCAGATAAAGAACTAAATGAGAGACTAATTTTTATACACTTATTTGAAGAAAAACTCTAGAGCTCTAGTTCAACCTCCATGTCCCCTCTGCATGCTATTTCCCAGGAGCAGCCTCACGTTGCTAAGTGTGAAGTTCCAGCAGCAATTTTGGGCACATGGATATTTACATACAAACTGTGGGTGGGCACATTTTCATTTCTCTTGGGTGTGTATAGATCTAGAAAGAAAGGTGCTGATTTGTGGCAGTTGCCACTGTCTTCAGGTGACTTTTCATGATCTCACTAGCAGAGTTTAAAAATACCACCACTTCCTTCTAACAGGAAGCTGAGACCATTGTAGAGACTTTAAGTTTAAATTGTGCATTTGGACATGTACATGCCACAGTGCACATGGGAAGTCAGCCCTCTGTAGGGTTATCTCAGTGGTTAATCAGTGTTTGTCAGAGGCTTGAAGTCTAACACACAGTGAAGCCGTACGTGTTCGGTATTACTTTAGCCTAGACATTCTCCTATGTTTTCTGCCTATAGCCAAGCTTCTTGCATAGGTGGGAATGCACCTGGGCTTCCCCTGCTCTCCTGAATCTGGGCTCACTCAGCTACCTTAACTCCACAGAGCTCACTGAGATGCTGTCAGCCAATCCACTGCTTGCCCAACCGGAACCAAGACTTCAGGTTACCTGTATCTGCTTTTCCTGTTCATTTGCTATTGACATTGGATTTTCTTCTCTCTTCCTTCTTCCCCCTCCTCCCTCCTCCTTCTCTCCCCATATCCCCCCTCCCCACTCCACCCTGGGATCAGACCCAGGGCCTTGCACATGCTACACAAGTGCTTTACTGAGTTTCTTCCTAAGGAATAATGCCCAGGTACACAGCGTTAGATCCAGCCCTCCCTACACAGCTACCCCACCCTAGTAGAACTGCTACTACAGAGGGAGGGGAACTCCCATGGGCTCAGATGTCATGGCCTCATTGTTCGGTCTGGAGGCTCATAGTGTTTTATAGCTGTAGTCAGCCTCTAGAATCCTAAAATGGTTGTTTGGTTTTGTTCTTTTAGTTGCCTCTTTAGGAGGAAACAAGTTCTGATCTTCAAAAAGTAAGTTCATTTTTTTCTTGCTTCAGTGGGACTAAACCATTCAAAGAGCCTTCCTTGATTTCCTTACCTGAGTGATTTCCCACGCTGTGCGCCTATCTGTATTTGTAGCTCCCGCTGCTCACCGCATGCTACCTTGTCTGCCATCGGCTTACAGACACATCTTTACCTGGTGGACCTCAGTGTAAGCGGCTTCATGGCAGAGTGTGCTAGGCATCATTTATTCCGGGTATTTGTGGACTGAATGTCCTAGGCCTTAGAGCCCAGCACTCTTCCCACCAGACCAGGCTACTCCATTTAAGGGCGACTGTAGTCTACTTCTCTTGTTTCTTGTCATCAGAAATACTATGAAAGTCATGTAACCAGGAAAAAAACCGCTAAATCATACGGTGTCTTGGGGGGGGGGTGCTTTGGTATACATGTCCCTGGAGCCTCATGTGGGTACAACAGTGGAGCTTAGCTAGTAATGAGTCAAAAGTGTACTTTTGTCTTTCCCTGGATATGTTTATTAAGCATGTAGGCAAGTTATTCAACTTTGGGTGTTAGCTTCTTTCCTATGAAATGGTTCTGGACTAGAAAAAAATGGAGGTGACTCATGATATAATGTTCCAAACTCTTAACTGCTTACCAGATGCTGTATACAGAAGCCCAAATAAAACTTACACCCTCAAACAAGGACTGGCTTGCTTCATACTGGGGCAAATACATTGGCATGCTTGGCATAGGTATGGGAAGGGAGAGGATAAAGAAGGAAAGTGCTCAGAATGACTGACACTAGAACTGCATTTAAGTTGTTTTGTTGTTTTTCATGGGGGAGATGCTTTGGGGCACCTATGGAGGTCAGGGGACAACTTTCAGGGGCTGGCTCTCTCCTACCTGTGGGTTCTGAAGGTTAAACTCAGGTCATTGGGGGTCTGTTGAGATGACTTGGAGCAGGTAAGACTGCTCCTCCAAAGGACCTGGGTTTAATTCCCAGCACCCACTTGGCGGTTCCCATTTATCCACAATGCCAGTTCCAAGGAATCTGATACTCTGTTGTGGTCTCCACAGGCACCAGGTACGCAAGTGGTAAATGACATACATGGGAGGCAACACACACACACACACTTCTTTTTTAATAAAAACAAACCTCAGGTCATCAGGCTTGGCAGCAAGGCACCTTTACCCACTGAGCCATCTCACCTGCCCCATAACTCAGTTTTAAAAGGGGAGAACATTTGAAGAGAAGGAAAGCCAACTCTTTGATGGAGCAAAAACACCCAAAGAAGCAGTGGGGATGAGATCCAAAAGATAGGTTCTGGACTTGAACTTGACAGATCTATTTCACTGCTGCTCCAAAAAACAAAGCCTCTGATGGGGTCCTTTCCTGTCTCCTAGATTTCACTGTCCTTGGACAAGGAGAGAGGGCAATAGGGGTGCCCACCAAGATCTACTGGAGGGGCTTTCACTTCTGCAAGTCTTCCACTTAATCCTCTACTGATGCCAAGGAGACATGAGATGAGAAGGGAGGGGGAGGTACTTTAGTTTTCAATACTGTATCATTGACTAATGGGAGGAGGTCACAGCAATTGGTTTCTCAGGCAAACAAGGGCTGCTGGGGCCTTGGCCTGTGGACTCATATCCCCATTGTGACCAAATCAGTGATGAAATGTGCATCAATTCAATGATGAAATGTGTCCCAAACACAGAAGATAGTAACTAAAAGACCCCCCTCCCAATTAGAAATAGGTAAGAGTTGCTAGAGAAAATACATAATTTCAACAGAAGGTAAGCTGAGAAAAGTTCTAATGCAAACACAACAAAGGATTTTAGCTCATAGATCAGGGTGCTCTCTCTGGCTCTCCTTCCCCCACCCCTCTGTGTGTAAGTGTGTGTGTGTGTGTGTGTGTGTGTGTGTGTGTGTGTGATGGATATCCAGTACAGTGAGTGTGTAAGTATGTGTGAGTGTGTGATGGATATCCAGTACAGTGAGTGTGTGTGTGTGTGTGTGTGATGGATATCCAGTACAGTGTGTGTGTGTGATGGATATCCAGTACAGTGTGTGTGTGTGTGTGTGTGTGTGTGTGATGGATATCCAGTACAGTGTGTGTGTGTGTGTGATGGATATCCAGTACAGTGTGTGTGTGTGTGTGTGATGGATATCCAGTACAGTGAGTGTGTGTGTGTGATGGATATCCAGTACAGTGTGTGTGTGTGTGTGTGTGTGATGGATATCCAGTACAGTGAGTGTGTGTGTGAGTGTGAGATGGATATCCAGTACAGTGTGTGTGTGTGTGTGTGTGATGGATATCCAGTACAGTGTGTGTGTGTGTGATGGATATCCAGTACAGTGAGTGTGTAAGTGTGTGTGTGTGTGATGGATATCCAGTACAGTGTGTGTGTGTGTGTGTATGTGATGGATATCCAGTACAGTGAGTGTGTGTGTGTGTGTGTGTGTGATGGATATCCAGTACAGTGTGTGTGTGTGATGGATATCCAGTACAGTGTGTGTGTGTGTGATGGATATCCAGTACAGTGTGTGTGTGTGTGATGGATATCCAGTACAGTGTGTGTGTGTGTGTGTGTGTGATGGATATCCAGTACAGTGTGTGTGTGATGGATATCCAGTACAGTGAGTGTGTAAGTGTGATGGATATCCAGTACAGTGTGTGTGTGTGTGATGGATATCCAGTACAGTGAGTGTGTAAGTGTGATGGATATCCAGTACAGTGTGTGTGTGTGTGATGGATATCCAGTACAGTGTGTGTGTGTGTGTGTGTGATGGATATCCAGTACAGTGTGTGTGTGAGTGTGTGATGGATATCCAGTACAGTGTGTGTGTGTGTGTGATGGATATCCAGTACAGTGTGTGTGTGTGAGTGTGTGTGTGATGGATATCCAGTACAGTGTGTGTGTATGTGATGGATATCCAGTACAGTGTGTGTGTGTGTGATGGATTTCCAGTACAGTGTGTGTGTGTGATGGATATCCAGTACAGTGAGTGTGTAAGTATGTGTGAGTGTGTGATGGATATCCAGTACAGTGTGTGTGTGAGTGTGTGATGGATATCCAGTACAGTGTGTGTGTGTGTGTGTGTGTGTGTGATGGATATCCAGTACAGTGTGTGTGTGTGTGTGTGTGATGGATATCCAGTACAGTGTGTGTGTGTGTGTGATGGATATCCAGTACAGTGTGTGTGTGTGTTTGATGGATATCCAGTACAGTGTGTGTGTGTGTGTGTGTGTGATGGATATCCAGTACAGTGTGTGTGTGTGTGATGGATATCCAGTACAGTGTGTGTGTGTGAGTGTGTGATGGATATCCAGTACAGTGTGTGTGTGTGTGTGTGTGTGTGATGGATATCCAGTACAGTGTGTGTGTGTGTGTGATGGATATCCAGTACAGTGTGTGTGTGTGTTTGATGGATATCCAGTACAGTGTGTGTGTGTGTGTGTGTGATGGATATCCAGTACAGTGTGTGTGTGTGTGATGGATATCCAGTACAGTGTGTGTGTGTGAGTGTGTGATGGATATCCAGTACAGTGCGTGTGTGTGTGAGTGTGTGATGGATATCCAGTACAGTGTGTGTGTGTGTGTGTGTGTGTGATGGATATCCAGTACAGTGTGTGTGTGTGTGTGATGGATATCCAGTACAGTGTGTGTGTGTGTGAGTGTGATGGATATCCAGTACAGTGAGTGTGTGTGATGGATATCCAGTACAGTGTGTGTGTGTGAGTGTGTGATGGATATCCAGTACAGTGTGTGTGTGTGTGAGTGTGTGATGGATATCCAGTACAGTGTGTGTGTGTGTGATGGATATCCAGTACAGTGTGTGAGTGTGTGTGATGGATATCCAGTACAGTGTGTGTGTGTGTGATGGATATCCAGTACAGTGTGTGAGTGTGTGTGTGTGTGTGATGGATATC